GTAATTGCTTCACAAGCCCTGCGTTAAGAGAAAGAAGTAGCACATCCAGATCAATGGACGTTTAATTATCTTCTTAAAAGTGAAGCGGGCCCATGAATGGAAAAGGCAAAAAAAAACTACGCTTCATTTACTGATGAACCCATTAGAGAACTCACTCTAGCAGCAAACACACTTGTTTATGAGTGGTTGGATGGCTAAACGTGCATGAAGACTGCGTTTGGGGTACTCTGGTCGAGTCAAGGAAATTCCGGGTGTAGGGCCCTAGCGACGATGACAGAGTGGGGGGGGGGAAGAATGGCACCTCGCAGATCGTGAAGGTTTCACATGAGCAGCGAGTTTGATGCAGATTAGCTCAGTGGTCGATGAAAGCCGAATTAAGTAAAAAAAAGTGCCGCATAGAAGAGCGTGATTATACACCACTTGCGTTACACATGGTAAGCTCCTAGAGCCCCCACAGAGAAGCCCAGAGCCTGAGATCATGGATCCATGGTCTCGCCTACCTCTTTAGTGCTGGGTGACACAGATCGACCGGGATTTCAGATAAGTCTAAAGCCAAGGCGGGGGTCCAGTCGCTTGGCGGTTCATGCGTGACCACGTCACGTTGCCACGTGAGCCGGCGGTGACCTGCTCCATGTGAGAACGGCATTGATCGTGCGGTTTTGACATCGTCCCAGAGCCCTTCGAGTAGCCGGTGAGCGCCGGGTGTCCCAGAACATTGCCGTGTACTGGCTCTGCACTCTGCACTCGCGAACAAGTGGCCGGATGTCGAAACGCAACTGGGGCACGTAAGTTGAACACGTAGTAGGCTTTCGCGACCAACATTATCCAGATTGGTTTTTTTCGTGTTAGATCGTGTAAATTTAAAATGTGACGGTAAACCCGCCAACACCCGGCACAGCCAATTAGTAAGGTTTGTTCCGTAAACAAAACATGCCAATTAGTTACTAGTGTTGGAGGGTAAACGCCCACAACATTTACAATTTGAGCACAACGTTTTGCCGGTTTATTACAACCATCAGGTGACAGCCAGAATGTGGAGAAATCCTCCTGTCTTGGTCATAAATATGAAACTAATTATACATTAAAAAATTGTGTACTTCTGCTGGGAACTCCTTTTGAGAAATTACTAGCATCTATATTATTAAAATATAATGAAAACATACTAATTATGTCGTGTTAACAAAGGTCAGAGATGGTGCTTTATTTGAGGAGTGAACAAGCTAGGAATACTGTAATGCCACTCAACAGCAACTTGTTGTCTATCTTGTCCAGCAACACACAACAAACGTCTGACTATCTTAAGGCCAAAGTCTTCAGATCTCATATAGAGAAATCTTTTGACTGCATTTCACCAAATAAATACTGCTGCTGAAAGTGTATTACGTAATTCCATTTAATAAAAAAACAACGCCACTTAGATGACAAGTGAAAAGAAATAAACCCGCAACTCGGAAATGATTTGAAATTGCCAATTTAACAGCTGGAAATGTGAAGGAGCGGGCAGACGGCTGGGGTTTTTCTTTTGGGCAATAAAAACAGAAAAAACTATTAACCAATCAAGGCAATAGTTATGTGGACATGTGAGAGAGGAAGGCACTTACAGCTCTATTGAAAAACATGCAACGGAGTAGAGTAATTGAGGCTGGGCACGTTAAAGATGGGGGTCACAAATTCCCAGTGGCGGCTGCCCTCTCAGCAAATTACTTGCAATTTTTTTTTGCAGCCGCCTGCAATTATAATGAGAAAATTGGGGCCAAACTGGCTGGGGAATGGAGGAGGAGGCGGTGGGGGGTGCGGGGTGGGGGGGTGCGGGGGGGTGCGTGGTGGGGGGCGGAGGGGGGGGGCGGAGGGGGGGGCGGTGGGGGGTGCGGGGGGTGCGGGGGGAGACGTAAGTATGGGTTCGATGGCGCTAAAAACATGGGGGTTAGGCTCAGGTGATCCACTCAGGTGCGTTGTCTCTTCAACTCAGTTTCTGCCGCTACGAAGTTCAACATTGGTAATAATGATGGGCGGCACTTTGAAATGCTGATGTATTGCGAATATTGTGAAACTGGGTATATGTTGTGCCTGTTAGTATGAAGCTAAAACATTTTTGGGAATGAATTGTACTTAATTTGTGCCCTTGTTTGTATTCAAAGCAAAATGTGTTCAATGAGAGACGTTTTACACAAACTTTATTATTTTACTTTACCTGCTTGGCCGAATTGTTTTCGGCGTCATGTACGAAACAAAAGCAATGTTTGGCTCCTTTTGCGAACCCCCCCCCTCCTCTCTCGCTTTAAACAACAAAGACATTTCATTTTCATGATGTAGGGAAAATAAATATATCTTTTGAAAGCAGCTGATTTTTCTCAGCCAATGGTGGGGGGGGGGGGGGGGGGGGGGCAGGGGCGGAGCCACAGGGGGGGCTGGGGGGGCTTAGACCCCCCTGAAATTTTGGGAAAGTCGGTAATCGGGATAACCGGATATCCGGCTGCTGCAAAATGCTGGCTGCCACCTCGTGCTGCCCTGCAGGCTGCCACCTTGTGCTGCCCTGCAGGCTGCCACCTTGTGCTGCCCTGCAGGCTGCCACCTTGTGCTGCCCTGCAGGCTGCCACCTTGTGCTGCCCTGCAGGCTGCCACCTTGTGCTGCCCTGCAGGCTGCCACCTTGTGCTGCCCTGCAGGCTGCTTGAGCGGCAGCCTATCGAACTTATCAAACTTATTAGCCACATCAGCGGCTCCGACCTATTAATAAACTCCACGTTCAAATCCAATAAAATTTGTTTTATACATTTGTGGCGCCCATTGGAAAACATAAACACTGAGATATCTCAGAATATTGAAGTCAGCCCCGCCAAAGTCAAAATCCTGACTCGGCCCCTGGTGGGGGGTGGGGGGAGGGGCTGGCGATGTTGGGAAGAAACGTCGCTTTTATTCAAGGACATTTCAGGGTCTGCAAGGATATTAAAAAAAAAACCGCTTGCATGAGGTGTATTTCATTCGTCAGCCTGTGAAGCACTTCAATGGGACTAACCCCGGCGTGAACGATCTGCAGTGGAGTGGGCAGCACAATAAAGGAGTTTAAGTCACAGATGCGCCACTGTGCAGACAATTGTCTACGCTCTGTGTACTGGTTAGGAAGGGCAGGCACGAGGGTCCTATAACATTGCCGCTTGTAAAAGATACTACATGGGAATGGGGGAGTGTCTGCTTAAGCTGATTAATTAGTTCATTTTAATCTGTTTAATTAGCGTCGGTACAAATATTCTGACGCTGTCAAGGGTTTACTGCTGGTTGGTAAATTTTTCATTTTAGAAAATAATTAACGAGTTCAAATTAGTTTCTCCCCCTTCGCAAATCGGTGTTCTTCATGGTGTTTCCTCACTGCCGTTCAAATGTTCGCTTATTGTTGCGTAATGCTGTCGAAATATGTAATTAGCAAATTGTTGACACATTGGGAATGGTGCTGTGCATAAATGAGACTCATTAAACGCGACAGGATTTCGTTGGAATTATTGGGGATTAATACACACACACAAAAGACCCACGATCGTTATGCTAATTGAACCACTTTTGCCAAAGACCTTTTTTTAAGCATGGCATTTTCCACAAACGCTTTTTGAAAGAGTTTTGACAGTCATTCAGATGTACGAATACGTTTCTCTATTTTAAAAAGCGAGTGGAACGTGTCAAATGCGCTCAGTTATTAGTTATTTTTTTAATAATTTGAGAATCTTTGACATATTGCATCAGTATTTTCAAAATAAATTCTTTTATTCATGAATTTCAGTGTCTATTACTTATACTAAAAAGACACATTTTGCCAGAAAGAATACTGTACTTAGAGAGACCTTGGCCAAATATGGTGAACAAGACTGCTGCTGAAATAACAACTTCTGCTGGCTTGCCTGAAAAAAAAATCAACTGCTCTCATTGTTAAAATTTTATTCGCAGTGTACAATGTGATAGCTGCTCAAATTTAACAATGCGTCAAAAAGAAAAGGTAAATACACGTTATTTTATAGCTCAATCTACGCTCTTGTCAGTAATATCTGGCAAGAGCAACTGCATTTAGCAAACAAAAACAAACTAGGCATGGCCAGATCCGGATCATAGGACCCAGTAGGTCAAAACCATTCTGGAGTTTGCCTAAGTAAACTAATGACGCTGTGAAACAGTTCAGAAGGCTAAAGAGCCAATGCATGAAAAACATTTTTGTTTTTGTTTGGAGTGATGTTGGACTTTTGTCTTACAGGTAAAGGTACGGTCCTGCAATTAAATGTTGACTTAAAGCTTTCATGACTGCAGGAATTCATATTCTTTGGGCCTTTCGGTAAAGTCACGTAGATAGCTTCAAAGAAAAGAACAAAAAACTACGATGTTTCGATCGCAACACAAGCGTTCGTCATCAGGAAGAGGGGGTTAGCTTCTAAAGGCAAACTGTTTATAAAGGTTTGACATGGGCGTAGCCCAAATGTCAGCAGCCAATGATAGTGTCAGTGGTGGGCAGCGACCGCGATGGTGGTGGGTTTTCCCACCAATCATAGGGCTGCCCAGTAAAAAAAACATTATCATGCTCATTTTTACCAAACAAAATGGGCGAACAAGTTAACCGCCGTCGCAGCGAAATCACGTGCTCGTAAACACAACCGGTGCTGTGGTTGCGCCGTGCCGTGGCGGCGTTGCTCCGCTAGCGCCGCGGCTTCAGCGGGGGGCTCGAATGGGGAGAACACCCATGCTGGAAGACTCGCCCCCCCCCCCCCAAATCCCCCCCAAATCCCCCTTCTGAATTATTATCATCAAGCCAAAAAAAATTCGTGCAATTTTTTACGCAGTAGGTGGTGGTGGTGGGGGGGATGCGTGATAGACTCAGCAGATCACATTGTGACTCAGTTTGTTCAGCGTATGCTTGGTTTACATTGACCGGCGTCACGTGCCCCCCCCCCCCCCCCTCTTGTGACAAGGTCACGCGCTGCGGGGGGGGAACGGGGGTTTGCAGCATGCGACCGCCACCACTCACGATGTGCAGCCGCAGGTAGTCTCCGAGCGTCTCGCCGCTCTCCACGTGCACCAGGATGGCGTCCTTGTTCTGCGTGCTGAATCCCAGCGCCAGACGGTCGGCCCGCGTGCTCGGCCGGTTGTTGGGCGGCCACACGTACGTGATCTGACCGCCCGTGCGGCCAAATATGTACGTGGTGCCCGCTGGGGGGGCGGGGAAACGGCAGAGACAGGGGGGGAGCGGTGCGTCAGATCATCGGTCGGCTGGATCCCATCTCGCCCCCTACCACCGCCCCCCCCCCCCCATGGATTTTCACCGCGCGAGTCAAAGCCGCCGGGGTCTGCCTTGCCGGCTCGCCTGCCCGGCGTGAGCGATGTTCGTCTCTGTGGGCGGCCCTGGAGCTAGCCGAAGAAATCCCACCCACCGTGGAATACGATCGCATTTGGATTTACGTAGCAGCAGCGTCAAAATGCGGCTGCATGTCACAATGCCGTGCAGGAGGAGTGGGCGCATTTTTTTCATCTTTATAGGAGGTGGAAATCATTGGTCTCTATGTGAGTTGTTGAGCCTCTATCTAAATATGTATGGGCCTCTATGGTGGTGTTTGCATCTCACGTGTGTGAGTCTGTACAATAAAATTACGCCGTGGATTTATATAGCGTTGAAATGCGAGTGTGTCGCAAGACGCCGTACAAAAACAATGGGTTTATATAGTCATATAGAGAAGCAGTTCGCCATAGGCAGGGGAGAAGAGCGGTTAATGGAAACCCAAATTAAACAACCATGGCTTATGCATGGATTCAAACTCAGATTTTCACTGGCGTCGGCCCACAAAGTCACCTGCTAAATAGACTTGTACCGCATTTCAATGGCCACTTGAGTGATTACATTTCCAATACAGTAATCGTACACGGTATACAAAACAAATGTAGACTGATAGTAATGGTCGGAATTGAACAGAAATGGTTTTCAAGATGAAGTCTGCCAATAATCGTGAATGATGACTTTTCTCCTCTATAGAGATTATCCTTTGACTTATAAAAAAAAGCAAATGCATTCGCATTATCAATGTTGAAGCAAAAAAATATATAACAATTATTGGAAAATAAAATCGGCAGAAAATAGGCGTGAAAGGATCTCGAGCCCACACGATTGTGAACCTCGAAACGATCAAGCTGCAGCTGTGTGTCGCAGACGTACTTTGAAAGCAGTCGCCATGGAATGCACGCTGTAGATGGAGGGCAAAGTGGTACCACTTTTTATCTGCGCCGACGAGTGTGATGGGCTAAGTAGACCTCCTGGCCAGGTGTTTTGAAATTGCAGCCTTTTGATTGAGCGAGTGAAGCACTCCAGACCTCCAGTGGCACTTGGCCTGTTTGTATCTTATTACGCAAAACATTTCAAAAAGGGGTTAATTAAAGGTCGGATAGTCATTGTACAATGCTTACAGTTTTTTACGTCTTAAAAAAAAAAACCCACCATCTTTTCTTTATTCCATGTGATGACAGCAACAGAAAGGTTGCAGTTTAATAATTGACATTATTTGGCCACATTTAGCAGAGATGAGTTGAAGAACGCGTGGCAACGACTCATTAGCGGGCAGACCCCTTTCACACAGAGCCCCCCCCCCTCCATCTCTCAGGGTCATTTTGGGGGAAATTTGGGGTTATTTGGCTGTGACAATGGCGAGCGGGGATCTCTTTGTGCTGTCGGCGTCGCGCGGGATCTTTTGATGTTGTCGGGGCGTTTGGCGAATGTGACGAGCTGGACCGGAGACCAAGAAAACCCGCAGGCAGAAGCAGGGCTTGGGCTTATCGGCGAGTTCGCAAGGCAAACCCACGGCCGCCTGCCTTGTTAAGCACGTGTTGTATATCGCGGCTGTTTAAACGCTCCAGGGGTGATTTTTTTTCCCGCAGGTGCTTTATAATGGGATGAATGATGAACGTGCGAACGATTAAAATAAACACATGGTGTATGCGGTAGATAATCGCCATGAAGTCGAGTGATATGCTAATGCTAACCTTATTGGAGCACTCCTGCTGCCAAATGCGTAATGTGTTGTTTTGCCGAACCAAAAAATGTAGTCGTTAATAATGCTTTTTATACTAAATGGGTTGAGCTCTATTAAGCACGTTGGCAATAAGCGGTAAATTGGTAGCGGTTGTCGCTGACAAATCGCGGCAGCTTTGCGTTTGTTCGTGTCGAGGGTGGGAAAAAAAAAGATTTTTCCAACAAAAAAAAGTCAGCGTCGCATTTTCTGCCGTGGTGCTAAACGTCGCGAGTCGTTTCTTCGGCTCTGGTGGTGTTGGCTGGGACACAAAGGGAAGAAGTGGTGGGGGTCATCCAGCAGTGATATTCTGAACGTCGCTTCTTGCAACAACAACAACACAAAAAGCAGATGGCTGTAATTATCGCCAACTCAAAAAAAAATCTGCTGTTAGCCACAAGCTTGAGGATTAAAAAAAAGCGTGATTAGCACGGTTGGCTACGTATGGTGCGAAATAAGTTCCACACACATGCGTACGTATAGAGTGACAATATATTCAGTCAACTCATTCCACCTCTCCCCCTGGTTATTCCCTCCAAGCGTAGCCTCCTATGTTTGCTGCTGTTCTGTCCATTAGGCTTGTGTCTCAGTTGTTCCATATGCAAGCGCAATCCAGCCAGTGCCTCGAGTGTTTTGTTGAATATTTTTTTGTATCACTTACACGAGCATTGCCTGAGCAATTGCGCACGATGCACGGCTGGAGTAGGGGGGGGGCATGACGTCAGCACGAACCCGGCTCAACGCTGTGGGATGCAGGTAACGTCTTAATCCAGATGTGCTTGGTGACGTCATTAACATGCACTTCCCTGCCCGTACACCAGCCAGCAAAACTTTTTTTCAAATCGTATATGATATGTGGGCATTTTGCTGCTCATAATAGTTAAAAGTTATAGAGTTTTGGAAAGACCATGCCATTATCTACTAATGCTTTTCTATTATTTCTTGAGTAGTTGTCCTGGATGGACATTATCTCTCCTTTTTGGCAGGACAGACTCATTGAGTCTCAAGACTCTCAGGAGGGTCTTGCTCCATTTGGATGTTTGGCCAATTAAATTCCTTAACATTTGGCTTCATGTGGGAGTAAACCACAATACCCCCCCACACATGACCTCCGCACATGCAGTCTGAGCATCTAAAATTGTAATGGCCCAGAGTGAAACGTGCGTCACGTTTGCTGGTATTTTGGTTATATTGAATCCGGCGCTTGTGCTCGTGGCCTCATTTGATTACTAATGAATTGCAACGTTCAAGTAAAAAACAACATATCACGTGTGAAGCCTAGAAACTATTGCGTTCCAAAGAAAAAAGTCAGCCCAGCAAAGCGTGTCTGACCCTGAAATATTTACTGTTCTTGTGCTAAGAGCACGGAAATGCATTCTCCTGCCAAAATAGATAATACAACAACATTGCTATGGCGGTAATGGGTTGCTACCTCGGTTAGCATCGACAGAGAAGAGGTCCCATTCAAATTTTACCTTTCCGAGTGTTCTGGGGTATTGTCCAGCCACGGTGGCAAATCAAATAAAAGAAGTGGGTCTTCTCAATTTCGAGTTTACTCGATTGTTTTCTTAATAATTTTTTCTCAACGTTTGTTTCTCGACACGTGATTTCGTCATCCTTGTTGCTGCATTTTCTCTCCCGTGTCCTCCTGTTTCTTTTGCTTTGCCGTCTCCCGTCTGAGGAAGGTACTGGCCTTTTTGGGGCCACGCAGTCAGTGTGCTTGTGCTGAGCTGGGATCCAGTAGTGATGGACGGCCGGCGCGATAATTAGATTGGGCCATTAAATGAACCCGACCGGCGCAGTGGCTGTTCTTCGTAGATAAACCAGTGCAATTTCTAGCCAGGCTGCGGCAAGCAAGCGGGGAGCCTAGCGATACATCATCCATAATGCCTTAAATCCAGCCCTTCCTTCCCAATTTTCCTCCACCCTCTGCTGCCGTTGCTGTGCCTTACATCATGCCGGAGAGAGAATATCCGAGTCGCTGTGAGGATCCACTGTTGTTTTTATCATTTTGACTGGCGGCAGCTCCTCTGCTCCGTGTGCACTTCACAACCTCATTTAAGTCAATGGCCTTAATGTTGACTTTGGACAGGTGGGCACATTCTGGAGGAAGTGACATTAAAGAACCAGGGTGTTACCACAACATGTTATGGATTCTTAAATAAAAAATATAGGGCACTTATTTTTGCAAATCTTACCGGTTGGATTTTGATATTGGTGCCATCAAAAAATATATATTCGTCTGGAGAGGCTTGTATATATTATCATGAAAACATGTAGAAACACTTCTGAATTTGCTGTACATATCTTAATATTTAATTAGTACTGTAGAGCTTTGGCAATTGTTGGCGTTGGGTCACCACCTGACTGCCCTCCAGTTTGTCTATGGTTCCTCAGAAAATTGCGGTTTGCAACTTGTATGAATGAGACGATATGCAACTAAAGCATCTTAGAATTAGTAATGTCAAAACACACTGGCCTTTGTTTGGTTACTGCTGTCAAAAAGAGGTTGGTAGGACCATGTTTTCTGAAAATGTGTCATCAATCAGCCTTGATCTATCCATGGCTGGATGAAGGCCTTCCTGAGTCAGCACTAATCTGCATAATTATGGCAGTATTAATATTTTTGAGTAACGGTTCATGGTTTCTGTGAAACTGGTCATCCGAGTTTGATTCTTGGCCACGGCTAACATCAGCTGTGAGCAGCGTCTGAACCGGGTGCTGGCTTTCTCACCAAAACCCGCGCCGGAGTGGAAGATGGCGGCAGCCTTCACGCGGGCCCCACTCTGTTACGTGAGAGATCACGACTCGATTCCATCATCGACCCTGGCGACCGATCAACGATCAACAATTTCCCCAGTCTCCGGAGCGATAACTCAAGCCAACCAACCCACTCTGACCGGTATATGAAAGTACAGTAGGGTCAATCAACCCTACCCCTTGCACCCCTGCCAATAATCGAAAAGGCAATGGGCGGCATTCATCGAGCTGTGGATTGACAAAGGGTTGTACGTTCTTATTCATATCGCAATATTTCAGATTTAAGTCAACTCACTGCTGACATGTCTTGGAGAAAAGCACGTTGAAGACCTTTGTAATGGATCCTGGCTAACAAGGCACAACACTGTGCTTCATCTCCCTGTGGGTAATGATTTG